TATATATATTGGTTGTTAAAGCTTTGCCAGGTCAGTGAATCCCGAAGCAAGGAAGCCTTAAAATGTGCTCATGTGTCTGAAATTCCAGTTGTGCCGTCGGCAAGGGGGCATGTCACAACCCAGTGATTTTTTGTGCCTCGGCACTATGGAATTTCCTGGCCACATGAGAGCTCCTTTGCACGGCAGAGTGTTCTGCTGCAATTGAGAACCCGCGTATAGGAGAGAGTTCCCGCCAATTTGCAGTTTCCTTTGCAGGATGCATTTCTTTTTTGCAGCACAGAAATGACTTGCTCTCACATGTACATTGCTTGGGAGACAAGGTGCAATGTTGCTGTCAACAGGGGTGCACATGTAGATGTATACCCAGAAGTGCATTAATGAACATAAATTTTCTGTGCAGAAAATTCAGGCACATTAATTGCACATGTAGATGCACCCCCTATGTGGTGTTTAAGGCATCATGCTGTGTATATAACCTCTCTTTTTCCCCTGCCTGCCTATTACTTCCATAAATGCTATTTGAAGTGATACACTTACAATATAATCCACCCTAAACAATGTAAGTTCTGTTCACACATAGTTGGGTAATTTAGCAAGAAATTGCTCTGCCCATGGACATTTCTTTTTCCTTCTTTGAGGTGGTGGGAGATCTTGTGCAAAAAATACTAAAGCCCAGACAACAAAGCAGAAAAATGTAGTCAGTCAGAGAAGGTGATATTCATTACCTGGCCCAGATATCAGAGCTGGATCAGGATTGTCCCAATACATGCTGTGTGGTAATTAAACTTTTCCATACTGGTCTGCATGGTGACCATGGAAAATTACAGTTCATGTTCATTGTTGTCCAGTTCACTGTTGATTCTTATTGCCATAAAAAGATGCACTTTTGATCTGGTTACTTTCTGGGGTAGTTAAGGGTCCTGCATTTGTGCAGGGGGTGGCACTAAATGACTATAGAGGTTCCTTCCAGCCCTGTGATTCTCCCTATAAGCTTGGGTACCATGATTTAATAGATTGATTCCAAGAAATGTATTCAAAGAAAAAATTATTCCCTAGTAAGCTTGGTGCTTTGATGTGTAATGCCCAAGGAGGGGAAGAATGGAGGCCAGTATTTGGTTTGAATAGTTCCATTGTTAAGCAAACAATACAGAAACACAATGTGCACATACCTTTTGATACACCAACCCCCAAATACAGGACACTGGCTTTTAGTGGAGGATGAATGGTATCCTTATAAAGCAAGCACACACACCAGGCAAACCAAGAAAGCAGAAAACTTGATGTGATGTGAAAAAAATACCTTGGGTAATAATTTATGTGGCTTTGTTTTTATGCTTTTCTGTCAAACCTGTTTGGAAGATATAAAATCAATGCATTTGAATACAGTTCTCCTGATCTCTAGTACACCAAATGTTAGGGCTAAAGGAAGCAACAAAAAGGAGGGGGGGGGGGGGGAGGGGAGGGGACAAAAAGTGAGGAGGAAAAAAGAAAAAAAAAAAAGCGGGGGGGGGGGGGGGCAAGAAGATGGAAGAGTGAGAGCCATAGGAAGAGTGCAGAAGTGAAACTATTGTCTTTCCTAGAAAACTCTTGCTTTTCATATGTTAGAGTGATGCTGGGGTTTGGTTGGGGTTTTTTTTTTTTTTGCATCCTTCATACGCAATTGAAATGTGAGATGTCAGGCTCAAAGCAGAGAGTAATTTTGATTCCAAATGTGATGAAGATAGTGCCTGCAAACTGAAGCCTCAAGGTGATTGTTAATTTTCTGTTGTGGTTTAGGAGTGAAGTCAGTCAAAATATTTTTTCACTGAATTCGTTTGTTAAAATATGCTGTCTTACTGAAGCCAAAACATTTCATGGAGATGTATCAATTTCAACAAAGTGGCTGACTAGCAAAATCTGTCTTTTTACCAAAGCTTTTAGAGAAATGTCCCCTCATGTGAGCTTGTAGGCTTCAATGCAATGAGAAAAAGACATCTCCCCGCCAAATAATGGATCAAAATGCATGGAGATGAAAGTAACAAAGTAAAACAATAAGGCCCCAGAGGTGATCTTCAAAATACTCAACTCTGTATTTGTGTTTTGCTATGAGTCCCTCAGTGAGGTTATTTACAGTTATAGTGTTGCCAACATCAGAAAATGAGTCATGGTTTTAAATTTTAGTATTGTTCTTGGAGTTAGGGTTAAGTCTAACAGATAAAATAATATTTGATCAGCTAACAGTCAACTTGAGCAAAAAAAAAGCTACGTGATTGAAGTTTAATAAACATTCTCCTGTTTCTTGATTGTGTCTCAGATAGGAAATTGAAATCCTGACAAGTAGGCTCTTGGGATGACCCCCAGTTGGGTAGTACCAGAAAGATAAGGAGAAAGACAGCTAGTGAAATTTCCAGTGAACTTCAGCAGGCCCAGAAAGGCTGGGTAAGATTTGGATCAGCCACCCAACCTTGAGGTGTCATATGAATGGTGCCAAGTCTGTGAAATGCTTGTGTTTCTGCCTTCTGTGCGGGGATTGCACATTTCTGAATGCTGGTTGAATCATGAGTGCAGGTAGTTAATATTCTGACTTTGCCCGAGGGGCTTCAAACTCCTTTTCCTCTTGTTTATATACCATACCCAGAAGTCCTGGCTTAGTTCTTATTGCAGCAAAATACTCACATGTAGAAAGGCTTGGGACCTACCAAATGACTCCGCCCTCTCTGCGACTTTTTCTTAGAGCCAGCAATG